ATATATTTTTTTTTTTTTTTTTTTTGACTATGCTTTGTGCTATTGAGAATCATTGAGTAAATATAGAAAATTTCATTCAGGTGAATGTAGACATAATTCAATTGTTTGAATCTTTATGGACCTCACTAATCATCATAGTGAAAGTCCAATAAGTAGTGACAGTTCTGCATCAACTATCAAAAATTAAAATTGTTACTAAGAAATGCTTCTACTAGAATCAGCACTTTGTCATAGACTGCAATGGAACTGCGTTCCACCACCTTTTTTCGATATATTTTAAAAGTTTTAAGAGAATTTTTGAAAATTTGATGTTTGGTCCGCGTTGAATTGCTCTGTTGAGCATAGAAAATCAGCAACAAAATTATTAAGACAGTCCTGCTTGTGTGACGAATCTTGTGCCGATGCATGTAATATATTTTTAGTAATGAGATGAGTGTTCACCACCTTTTTTTTCCCCCAAAAAAAGCACTGCCTAGAATTAACATTGCCCTAGACTGTCTGCAGAAAACCAAGCATCAATGAACCTAAAATCCAGTTGGCAAATTTGAAATTAATAAGCAAGGCTGAGAAAAGACTGGCTTCATTACTCCTGATAGGTTATATAAGTTCCATACTCTTCTACTTGATCTCTACAAATAGGCTTGGAATCTTTGAATATCTAATAGATGGGCTATTAAGGAGACTCAAGAAATATTTGTCTCTATTACCTTGATGATGTAGTTGATGACATGATTTTTTGCTTCTCCTTCAGTATTTGTTAAGTCCTCATATGTTTTTAACACACAAATCTGCATCTGATCTGCATCAAAAAATGTGCTAAACACTCTTGGCATCTTATGTGCTAAATGTGCTAAACACTCTTGGCATCTTATTGATGGGAAAGTGATTGTCAGTCTGACAAATTACAAGCAGTATCAACTTTTCTACACCCACCAATCTTCTGAATGTTCAGAACTTCTTATTTTTTCATCTATATTACTGTCACTTTATTGCATGATTTGCATCAATTGCCAAGTTACATCATTTTTAACCAAAACTGATGGTTTTCAATGGAAGTCTTTTAATTAATGTCTCATTATCTATAGTGTGGCACAATGGTACACACACTACAGATGATGAATCTTTGATAAAGGTACAATCTTTGAGTGATATGCCCGTTTGTGCATATAAGCGGACGTATCAGTCAAAGATTATTAGAGTTTTGCATTGAAGTCATTTTATTAAATTTTAAGTATTTTTCATATAAAAATGCAGTGGGAATCATATAAATTCATAGTGTTTTTAGTATTGCATATATCCCAATTGAAAAATCACAGAGCATTAGCTGAGAGAAGAGTTTTGAAGAAAAATGTAGCAAGTACTTCAAATGTTTCTAGTGACAAGGAGACTGAAAAAGCAGATACAGTAGAGCATCGATTATCCAAAAGTCAGTTATCCGAAAGAATTCCAGTTGGCAAATTTAAATTTTCGCTAGTGCTGTGGCACTGCAATCTTTGGCTATATCTTGGGCTACTTTAATATTTTTTACATTTGTGTATGTGTTTTAACTGGCAACACTGGCATTTTTGTATAGTTTTTATTTTTTCTGAGGACTCTGTGTCTGGACGTGTGTCGTGCTTAATCGAAATCCGTTTTCATCAGGGACATTAATTTTGGATCCGTGAATTTTTTACTTGTAAAAGATCGCTCTGTAGTAGTTGTATTGTTTGCAATGACCACTAAACATAAACGCATTGTTCTCAGTGTTTCTGATAAACTTAAAATAATAGATCTGTTGAAGTGTGGTGCTAGTGGATCAAGCTTAGCTCGGAAATATGGAGTTGGAAATGCCACAATATCTGACATTAAAAAGAACAGCGATGCCGTTAAAAAATGTGCGAGTGTACTTGACAGTGAAGATGGAAGCTTGCACAGAAAAACAATGAAAATGGCAGAAAACCAGGATTTGGTCATTGCAGTTTACATGTGATTCATGCAGGTACGTAGCCAAGGACAACCAATAAGTGGCCCTTTGATTTGAACAAGAAACTAGGGGGTAACGCTGATTTTAAAGCGACTTCTGGCTGGTTTAAGAATTTCAAATCTAGGCATGGAATTGGACATCAGAGTGAAAAACTGTCAACTGATACTGAATCAGCTGAAAGTTTGAAAGAGTCTTTAAAGAACATGATTGATAAGGAGGACTACAAAAAAACCAATGTCTACAATGCAGACGAAAGTGGTTTGTATTGGAAAAAAGTGCCAACAAAAACCCTAGTTTCTAAGAATGAAATGTCAGCACTTGGTTTTAAGGTAAGCAAATTACGTATCACTGTTATGGTATGTGGAAATGTTACCAGAATGCACAGGCTACCTTTACTAATCGTAGGAAAATCTAAAAATCTGCGGTGCTTTAAAGGAATAAAAAAAATTGCCAGTGACCTACAAAAATCAAAAGAATTCGTGGATGGATACAACCATTTTTATAGAATGGTATGACACTGTATTTATCCCTGAAGTCAAAAAGCATCAGCTTAAAACTGGAAATTCTGGAGATGTTTGTTGTTGATTGATAACGCCCAAGTCATCCCTCAAACATTTCACTGGAAAGAGAAAACGGAAAGTTTAAAGTTGTTTACTTGCCTCCCAACGTAACGTTGGGAGGCAAGTAAACAATCCTCCAACTGATACCAACAAACAAGTAATTCAATCCTCCAACTGATGGACCAAGGGGTCATTGAAAGCTTCAAACGATATTACAGGAAGGCATTGCTGCATATGGTAATAATCAGGGAAGAATGTGAAAAAACAATTCAGCAAGTGTAATTAACTTAAAGGATTGTATTAACTTAAAGGAATGTATGTACTGAAATTAACTTAAAGGATTGTATGTACATTGCAGCAGAAGCTTGGGCTACTGTCAAGGACAGTACACTAGCAACAGCTTGGAATAAGCTCCTACCATCAGGTGAGTCTATCACTACACCTGAAGAGCCAGCAAAGAGCCAATTTGAATCACAACTGTTTGATATGGTTAAAGATTGCTCTGGATTTGAAGAATGCGATAAGGTAAACATTTAAGACTGGCTCAAGTGTGATGTCAATGACCCTGGCTATCAAATATTGTCGGACGATGAAATCATTGCCAGTGTCATCGATCACCAAGACCCCTCTGATGATGAGGAAGAGCCTAACGACGCTGACCGTGCTGAAAAAGTACCATCCAGTGAGGAAGCTTTTCATTGCCTTGATACAGTTCTGAAGTGGTTAGAACAGCAAGAAGAATGTGATGCTATACAATTGCTGTCTTTAAGATGTGTGCATGATTTAGTGGCAAAAAAGAGACACTCAGCTGTGAAGCAAAAGACAATTTTGAACTTTTTTTCTTAAACTCTAGGACTACGCTATGTAAGGTATGTAACACGTTTCTGCATTTAAACGTTTTTAATATTAGATTAACTTCCAAAATATTATTTTTTTGTTTTTTATTTTTCAATATATTTTGTTTGTACAAAATAAAAAAAATAATTTTTAACGATGCAATAGCCACGATTATTATTTTAAAAAATTTATGTTAGGCTTAACATCGACGAAAATTCAATGCAAAGCGACATGCAACGGAGAAAAATTTCAACATCGGATATGTTAAACTATTTTTTCGTACATAATCAGTTATCTGAACAACCCCAGTCCTCAATTGATTTAGATAATCGACGCTCTACTGTACTAACAAAAGTACAAATCTAGGCATTAGCACTGTTTAAAATATTGAAAGAAAAGAAGTTTAACTCTCCACATTAATGACCAGTTTAAATTAAGTAATGATATTTGCTTTCCATTATTAATTTCTTTTTTTTTCTATTTGCTGTTTTACCTATAATCACAAAGATGATGTCAAAGTGTTTCTTTGACATCATTGGCATTTGTTGCTATCTGACCTGCTATGCAGTTGCATAAGCTTTAGCCAACTTTAGCATATTACTGACTTCTTAGTCAATGAAGTTGTCCTAAAACATGACACACTGAAGAAATTCATCAGCAACCAAGGCTGTCCCTTTCTTATTCAGTTAGTCTATATAATGCACCAGAGGACAGCAGTTTAAGATGGAGAGCATTTATTAATCTTCAGACCAGTAGCCTCACTGAATGATTCAAACAGGTGCTAGCCAACAGGCCTGATGTTAATGTCACCAATGGAATCAAGTGTTATCTTTCATCACATTCATAAATAACTTGAAGCAAGAGGTAACTGTTCTTTCTTTTCTATGGCCAGCATACTGCAGCCTCTGTGGAAACCCACCCTTCTATCAGCTATGTCAAGGACATCTGGTGACTATGCCTCATTGATTTACATGTTCCTAGAGGATGCATACAACTTGGCCAAACACCCATGCTTATGGCCCAAAATTACAGCAAACACCACTATGACTTGAGCCAATGCTCTGTTCTTTACCACCCTGGTGATTTCATAAGGTGTTTATGTTCCTATTTGGCAAGTGGAACATTCTGAGAAATTCGTGTGTCATTATTTCTGACCCCACATAGTGATAAGCCAGTGTTCACCAGGAACTTAAGAGATTAAAAATCCAGTATCTGGTGTGTTGGAAAGCTTTTAAGAGATTGTCCACATCAGGTTGAGTTGCACCAATGTCTCCAGTGGATCTTCTTTGAGAGGTGGAAATGAAATGGACTCCAATCTTTCAAAATTGAAATTAATTTGATTTTGGAATCTAGAGCCTAGAACAGTTCTTGAGTGATCCAAAAGTTGGGACATTCAGTTGTTTTGTGTATCTACTTAACTTTGAGTTGAAGAAATTAGTGTTTTGTCATTGTTTTATGACAATATATGCTAATTTTAATTTGATCATTTTTCTAAATACTCATTATATTTGTTCTATTATTGAATTACTATTCACATAATTCAGATAGATTTTGTTTTTATTTATAGGAAATTTGACATAGTGTTCTTTAATATGTCAAAATAAGACACACACTTTTTAATACAGTAATACCCCGAACTTACATGATAAGTGGGATCGAGCAATAACCGCGTAAGTTGGGGTATAATTTCGCAATTTGTGTAAAATTCGGGTCGAATGTATGTAAGCTAATAAATGTTCTCGTTAGTCTTATCTCGTCTTTTGATTCATTTACGGTTACAAGAAATCATCACACAGAGTCTCTCAACTCTCCATAGATATAACAAACACAGAAATAAATAACACAAAAAAAATTGTAGCTATGTGTTGATTCTGCGCAACACGTCCGAACATGTAAGCTGAACAATAGTGTGGGGGGAGTGAGTAATCAAGAGTTGCGTGGCGCTCAAACAAAAGATGAATCGACAAGATTTGAAAATCGTGTAACTCCGGGTTCACGTAAGTCAGGGTAGCATAAGTCGAGGTATTACTGTATATATTTTCTTTGAATGCACTTTATTGTGCTTGTGAAACAATCAGACACTGGGCAGCTTTTTATTCTTTTTTAGTTGATACGCATTTCGGGCTCTTTATTGTGCTTGTGAAACAAAGACATAGAATGACACTTTTTTCAAATTAGTAAAGAAATATATATATTTTTTTGATAAGTTATTTTATTGTTTATAAATTAGAATAAGACAGCTTTCAGCTTATGAAATTTAAATGCTAAATTTTACAATTATAGATGATCAAACTACAACAACAAAGGTTAAGTGATATGAAGAAAACACTACAGAGGGAACTGAAAATTCAGTCAGGGACTGATGGAATCTTACCCATTGATAGTGCAGAAATTCCAATGATTCAGCCAACAGATAGCAGAATATCATCGGGTTGGTCTCAAAGTATTCCAAATAAAAAAAACTATCATGTTGATGGTGATGACGACATAAATTTTCAGTATTTAAAACATGTCATCTTCAAATTTATGACCAGTGAAGATTATGAGGTAAAGCATTTTATAAATTTAAGTACAGATAAAATCTCCCTAATCTGAAATTCTTGGAACCAAGAATGTTTTGGATTTTGGAATACATGATATGATTTAGTTGAATAGAATTGTCAGTATCAGATCTTTTTGATATTTTTAACAATATATAAACAACCCAACAAAATTAGTAGTCAAATACATTTGCCTGTACAATATGGTGGTTTACTGAATCATAACAGTATGTTGTGGTCAGATGCACTTTTGCATTACCTTTCATGGTAGAACAGTAATTCATAATCCTGTTCTAAATGGCTTCCTGCTGTGAAAGCAAAGATAAAAATTTTGGAATTTCAGATTGGGGATAATCACCCTGTATAAATATGAAGTTGTTTTGTCACTGAAAATACATTTCAAACTTTTTCAGGCACAACATCTGATAAAGGCAATTTCAGTATTGCTTCATTTTACTTCAGAAGAAGAAAAGTTGATCAAACAAATGATGGAGTGGAAAATGTCTTGGTTTAGAGCAAGACCACGAGTTAAGGGACATCCTTTAATATCTTAAAGTATCAATTCTTATGGAAGATGCTTGTTTCCATTATAAATTAAAGAGACTACAATATGGGGCCAGTACCTACGGAGATACACGGCACTAAAATGATCTATTTATTGTGCGAATTTGTTAAAATTTCGAAAATTTATCCTTTATGCAAATATTTATAACAGTTCATACATAAAATATCATTGAATGGCAAAATAATTGTTAATATCATTTTAATATTCTAGTCGTGAAAAAGGAAATAATAATAATAATAATCAGTTTTTATATATATATGAATGACTGTACAAAACAAAGCAAATTTATGCTAGTTGTTTATTGACGTGCAGAAGGACTTCCATTTGTAAGTGTGTTTTTATTTACTTAAAACTAAAAAAAAGTTTATTATCTTAAAAAAAAATAGTGTTTCTTTTTGTTTCAAAAGGCAGTTTACTAATTTCATAATTTGTATATATTTGGACAATTAACAAAACACTAAAAATTCAGTTTATCATCACTAGCTCAGCAGGTAATTATAGAATTTATAATAATGATTTTATTCCATTTCTTCCATTAAAAATGGATAATTTTAGCTTATTGAAACATCATTATTATATTCTGCCTAGTCTGCTGCTTTAAAGAACTTGTGAAAGTCAGAACAAAAATATATGTTTATAATAACAACAATTTTCCATTGTATATAAATCCAAGAATGTATGATAAATACTTTTTGATTCCAAGAATCTTTTTTTTTTTTTTTTTAGTCTCAAAAGTTAGCTGTGCCTGACATTGTGAGTCACAAATGTGACATTTTGCATACTGCCGTCCATTTTTATTGTCTGAATTATGGTCAATACCATATAGATGTTTAATACTGTTTAACGAATAAGAATGAATATTATTATTTATCTGCAAGTGTATAGAAAGGCTATTAAATATTTCAAAACTTAGTTAAATGTGTTTGTTTAAGGGCATTCTGTTTAGGACATTTTTGTTTTAACAATTATAATTTATTACTTTTTGAACACACTAGATATAAGTTCCAATTGAGGACTACTACAAAACTGTGACCTCCTCCCATTGCTTGGGTATTGTTGTGGCATGATGTTAGGTATACACAATATATTTCCACATATTCATCATGTACTGTACATTGATTCATTTGTTCAGCAATTTAAGAAGGAAAGTATATCTTGTGCATAGAATTCCATATCATCTTTACAGTAGTACATGGATAAATTTGTATCAATCTTTCATAAGAACACTAAAGTAGACAATTTCCAGAAATATGTTTCTTCAGAAATCTAAGCCATGTCGCCCCACATTACCATTGTTAGCAAGCCTTGCTGATATGTTCTAGACTGAAAATAGGAAGTCAGTTTTGATCACACCAGGTACAGACAGTTATGTTAACTTTTTAAGGAAATTTTGGCCAATCTTGTATTTAATCTGTTTGAGATGAAATTGGTCAAAGAGAAACAGGACATTCCAATTTTCAACACGAGTGTTGAAGTCAACAATTTGACGTCATCAACGACGTTCCAACTCGAGTACGAAGTGCTTAGTTCCCATAATTCCATTCTCAGCAAGATGGATTCCATTCAAATGTCTTACCAATTACCCACAGTTCATTGGAAAGTAGCAGTCAACATATCTGTTGAGTGCTGAGTGTGTTGAGTCAGCACTGACAACAGCGCTACCTCAACATTGAAAAAAGGAACGAATTTTAACGAATGTTGAGATCAGCGCTGAGTCAGTGTTGAAAATTGGAATGTCCCGAAAGTTGTTTGACTGGTTTTGTTAAACAAATTCCTCTTGTAGCCTGATGATTATACCTAGAGAGAAAATTGTTTTTAATAGAGAAAGATAAAATTTTCAGAGCTTAGTATTAACCTCTATTATCCATGAAAAATTATGAATATGAACCAGATAACCATATGGTATGCTTCCGTGTGCACTTACTGCATGATCATCTTGGTCAACTTTTTTGAGATGTTGCTGGCCCATTTCTTACCCATATGGGCTTGGGCTTGTGTAATGAGCATAGTTGTGATCAGCCACTTGAACCGAATGTGTTGGTGCCTTGTGTTCTAATCAATCAAGAGGCAATATTTTCATTTCTTTTTATTCAAACAAATTTTCAAAAAAAAAATTTAAATATAAATTAATTTTTACAACCACATTGCACTTTTCTTTCTCACATATTCTGTACATTACAATTCACTCTGTATAAATAACAATTTCACAAAAAACATTTTGCAAGTTTCTTATTTTCCTTGTGTAGATTTGTGTATGTGTGGATCTGCAAGAGGATATTCGATTCCTGAAATGAGCATCGCGATTTTACGCTTGAATATTGATTAAAATCATAAATATGAATTCCCTAAAAATGCATATATCTTGTTTGTGCTTAAATGAGTAAGTTTAAATGCATTTAAAAAAAATGTATAAAATGTGTTGTTCTACATATACATATTTGATTGTATGTTTTATATATTTTATTTTTTTTAAAGATGAGAACTATGTACTTGTAATATTTAAGGACATTTGAACACAAACTTTAGAGGAATGCACATATATTCAATTGGTTGTTTGATGTGAAGCTCGATAAATGCAGTGAGAAGAAAGGACCTTGTCTTTCTCAGTATTGAAATTGAACCAGGATGAAGCACCTTAATCTTCAAAATTTAGTAGCTATTCCAATTTATGGATAAATTTAATATTTAAGCCTTCTAGAAATAGACAAAATTTGGTACAATATTAGAACAATGGCCAAAATGATTCTAGTTAAACTATGTCATTTAATCATTTTTAAGCTGGAATTGCTAGAATAATGACCAAAATGAAATTGAAGAAATGTATTTTCCTTACCTAAGCAGTTTGGTCAGTACCATGCCAAATTTTGTCCATTTTTAGAATAATTTCATGAAAATGTTTGGGCAAAACTTTGGCATTATACCAGTATTAAACTGTTAAGGAAACTAAAAGCATATTTCTTCAATTATAAAATATTTTTGGCCTTTATTCTGGTAGTCTTCAGCTTAGAAATGGATTAAATGTTTTTAATTGAAATATGTATTTTGGACTCCTAAACTAAGTACTCTTACAGACTTCTGTAGACTAAAATTATATGAATTTAGCAAAATTTTGTCATATCAATTAAATTTTCCTGAATATTTGAACCTAAAGTATAAAATATTTTTATACATTTTGACTCTGTACAAATCACATAAGCAATATGTTAATTTTAAACTATATTAGTGTGTTAATTTCTCATTGCTTCGCATATAGATGGTATGTATGAATGATAGCAATGAATTTATTGCGGTGGTCCCTCAGGTTATAAAAAATCTTGGTGTTTATTGAAGAAGCCCTGGTATCCAAAAAGGGTGTATAGTTCATGTTTATACAAGGTTTGGAAGGTCACTGTTTTAGGAATTTGAGATTATTATTTAATCAACGACACAATAAAATTTCAAAGTAATTATTGGAATTTGGATACCATTATTCGTTTGTATTAATATAAAATGCAGAATGATCAAAGTGAAGCTTAGTAGAGGAGTAGGGAACCGAATATCCTTTTGCTGTTACAAATTTTACACATAGTTACATTTATTCACATTCATTATGTATATAAAAAAAGTGTGTTTTAATTTTATATATATCGTATAGCAGTTGCAATATCTAAATGCTATAGAAATGACTAGATCGATTGTTTTAATCATCAGTTATTCTATCGTATGTAAACTAAAGATACCATACCATCTCATCGGCCACCTATTTGGAAACTCCAAATGGCAAGTATTTAATTCTGTGCTGTGTTCTCGTGTGATTTATTGGCGAGTGAGCAAAAACATGTTTGGCACTAATATGGATGGTGTATGTGTATGTATGTGTTAACTTAAACACTAATACACGCTTTGGCACATCACAACACCGATGTTATGTTACTACTGCTATACATCTCAATAATAAATTTTACAACATGATTTTTTTTTTTGGCACTAGAGAATTCACATTACCTTCAAGAATTTATGCCAGAACTTAAGTACACCTATTCAACATGTACAGAATAGAAAGGAACATTTCTTTTGTCGATGCATTTTCCACGTTTCTCAAAAATTCATTCTAGTGTTGCATTTCTAGAATATCTTTCCTGATCAGATTGCTTCTTGCTTCTTGTAACTTCCTGCATGTTTTTGTTACTGTAACAAAATTTTTATTGTGATGAAACTGAAGATTTTTTTTCAAGATTTTTTGATTTTGATTATTGAATAGTGAGGTTGATTAAAAAATATAAAATTCATACCTGTTCCTTTTTTAAATAATAATATACTTACAATGCCATGTTATTGTATTTTCCATGAGCTGTTTCTCTCCTTTAGCAATCTGTAGATAATTTATACAAATTAATTATTTTGTTATCCAGATAATTTTAATCTTTTAGTAATATCATTATCAACCCGTCTCAATAATAACCATTTTAACTCATAATATAATTAAATGCAGAGCTCAAAATTGAAATTTGGTACACATCATGAAATGTACACTAAGAAGGGATTTTTTGAAATTTCCCGCACGGGAGAGGAAGAGAATTAAGTCTCATCCTAAAGAACTCAGCATCTATTTTAGATGCAATTTAGTAGGGTAAGCCACCAGAATGCACATTAAGAAGGGATTTTTGAAAATTCCCCCATGGAGGAAGAGGAGAGGAGGAGAGAGTTAGTCGGTATAAAGTGTAAAATATTTATTAATTGCCAAAATGTATACGATATGTGCCACTATATACTTTCCTTTATTATTTAATCATTTCCATTTTTCGGGTAACTCAAAAACAATATATCCAAAATAAACGAATTCAAATGAATATTTGGATTCATTCCAAATTCAAAAAATTTAAATTGTAAAATATAAAAAAAACTTTCGTGGAACATACTTGAATAAAACGACTAATTTTGAAATAAGGTTATCCTCCATTATAATGAAAAATCTTAATTTTTTTAGGTTACTTAAATTCTTAGTAAAGACTTTTTATTTATTCAGATATAGAAAAAAATGATTCTTGAATTTTTAGATATCTGCTAAATAGAATAGTGAAAACGAAATTTTTCATAAATTTGACCCTAATCTTATAATATAATTGAGATGAGTTAATAAAGTAACATTCAGCACAGAGGTTTGTGCTCTGCACTTATTATTACTGAGTTGAAAATTGAAATTTAGTACACAGTTAGGGTAGGTCATGAGAATGTAGATAAAGAAGGGACTTTCTGAAATTTCCTCCGTGGAGGAGACGGAGAGGGTTAAGGATTACCCTGTACTATTTTAAATGTAGTTTTTTTGCAGAAAATTAGAGAATTTTTAGATGGGTCTAAAAACATGTTCAATTAGTCTCAGAAGAGGTGAACCTAACTCTTGCACCTGGTAAAAAACAGGAAAGATTGGCTATAATCTAATAATCTTAATTTTTGCTATTGTTACTTTTTGCCTGAACTCATCTGCTAGTTTCATATAATTCTTTAATGGTTAATCTTGTTAATTCATAACTTTAAGCAGATGTGAATCTCATCAACATTCAAATCTTATTGACAAACAATTAAGTGTATTTAGCAGCTTTGAGCAGTTAAGAATTATCCCTTAAATAATGTTTCCACTTGCATTTAGTTTAGCTTTGGGTTAAATCTTGAACAATTAAGAAAGAAAATCCATGTGTCCCTTTATTAATATAAAAACACAGATTCCCTGCTAACAGCGGAACAGATATGTAGGAAAGTATCAATATTATTAAAAGGTCTTAATTACACATTTAAATTTAAGGAGATGAACTTTTTTGAAAAATAAGGTATCACAGCCCTAGGGTATATATGCACTGCTACTAAAAAGTTTTTCTGTTCAAGTATTAATTTTTCAGAGGTCTCTTGATGTTTGTTTACAGTAGAGCCTCGATTATCTGACTCAATTGGGGACTGGGGTTTGTCGGATAACCGAAAAGTATGAAAAAATCCATTATTAGTGTAGTATATTATTATATCGCTATTAACCTACTTCGCGTTGAATTTTCATCGATGTTAAGCCTAACAAAAATTTTTTAAAATAATAATTGTCGTTAGTGTATCGTTAAAAATTAGAAAATTAAACCTCATTTAAATACTGGCTTCCTTTCTGGTCGGANGATTCATAAAGAACGGAACGTATCTACCGTCTTATAGGGGGATCTACTGTATAACAGAAACAAGATATTTTGTAATAAACATTTTAAACTTTCTCTAAAAAGTCCATTAGAGTTTAGGTTAAGAATACTAAAGTATTTAAGTGCTTAGTGTGTTCATGGCAAAGCTTTTATGAATTATAAGAAAAATAGTGTATTTACTTACTTGTTCTTTGGAAAATGCAAAACCTCAGTTAATTGGGGCTCAGATAATCAAGGTTTTAAAGTATTTATTTCTATTGTAAGATATACAAATAATTGTTTACGTTTCCTTTGCAATAGGTCATATTATGTTCTGTACAGATGTATAAATATATATATAATGTTTTAATAATTAAGTTTCCCACTTTTAAAAGCATTTAAAATAAATTTTTCAATTTTAGATTAAAGATTTGGAAATTAAACTTGCTGAAAATGTAGAAAATTCTGACAACATCAATAAACTAAAAGCTGTATTGACTGAATTGGAAAATCAGTTAATGGATAAAAATAAAGTAAAGTATAATTTTTATATTTTACTTTTAATTTTAATAAGTAAATATTCACACTATTATACATCAACACCATTATTACACATCAACATCAATACATCAACAAATTTAATTATGCAATTATTTGCATTAAAATGTGTGTCTGTAGTATGTGAATTTATAAACAGTAGATAAATAGAACAAAATCATTAAAATGCAAAAGTATATTAGCTCATATATGATTTTTTTTTTTTTTTTTTTTGACTATGCTTTGTGCTATTGAGAATCATTGAGTAAATATAGAAAATTTCATTCAGGTGAATGTAGACATAATTCAATTGTTTGAATCTTTATGGACCTCACTAATCATCATAGTGAAAGTCCAATAAGTAGTGACAGTTCTGCATCAACTATCAAAAATTAAAATTGTTACTAAGAAATGCTTCTACTAGAATCAGCACTTTGTCATAGACTGCAATGGAACTGCGTTCCACCACCTTTTTTCGATATATTTTAAAAGTTTTAAGAGAATTTTTGAAAATTTGATGTTTGGTCCGCGTTGAATTGCTCTGTTGAGCATAGAAAATCAGCAACAAAATTATTAAGACAGTCCTGCTTGTGTGACGAATCTTGTGCCGATGCATGTAATATATTTTTAGTAATGAGATGAGTGTTCACCACCTTTTTTTTCCCCCAAAAAAAGCACTGCCTAGAATTAACATTGCCCTAGACTGTCTGCAGAAAACCAAGCATCAATGAACCTAAAATCCAGTTGGCAAATTTGAAATTAATAAGCAAGGCTGAGAAAAGACTGGCTTCATTACTCCTGATAGGTTATATAAGTTCCATACTCTTCTACTTGATCTCTACAAATAGGCTTGGAATCTTTGAATATCTAATAGATGGGCTATTAAGGAGACTCAAGAAATATTTGTCTCTATTACCTTGATGATGTAGTTGATGACATGATTTTTTGCTTCTCCTTCAGTATTTGTTAAGTCCTCATATGTTTTTAACACACAAATCTGCATCTGATCTGCATCAAAAAATGTGCTAAACACTCTTGGCATCTTATGTGCTAAATGTGCTAAACACTCTTGGCATCTTATTGATGGGAAAGTGATTGTCAGTCTGACAAATTACAAGCAGTATCAACTTTTCTACACCCACCAATCTTCTGAATGTTCAGAACTTCTTATTTTTTCATCTATATTACTGTCACTTTATTGCATGATTTGCATCAATTGCCAAGTTACATCATTTTTAACCAAAACTGATGGTTTTCAATGGAAGTCTTTTAATTAATGTCTCATTATCTATAGTGTGGCACAATGGTACACACACTACAGATGATGAATCTTTGATAAAGGTACAATCTTTGAGTGATATGCCCGTTTGTGCATATAAGCGGACGTATCAGTCAAAGATTATTAGAGTTTTGCATTGAAGTCATTTTATTAAATTTTAAGTATTTTTCATATAAAAATGCAGTGGGAATCATATAAATTCATAGTGTTTTTAGTATTGCATATATCCCAATTGAAAAATCACAGAGCATTAGCTGAGAGAAGAGTTTTGAAGAAAAATGTAGCAAGTACTTCAAATGTTTCTAGTGACAAGGAGACTGAAAAAGCAGATACAGTAGAGCATCGATTATCCAAAAGTCAGTTATCCGAAAGAATTCCAGTTGGCAAATTTAAATTTTCGCTAGTGCTGTGGCACTGCAATCTTTGGCTATATCTTGGGCTACTTTAATATTTTTTACATTTGTGTATGTGTTTTAACTGGCAACACTGGCATTTTTGTATAGTTTTTATTTTTTCTGAGGACTCTGTGTCTGGACGTGTGTCGTGCTTAATCGAAATCCGTTTTCATCAGGGACATTAATTTTGGATCCGTGAATTTTTTACTTGTAAAAGATCGCTCTGTAGTAGTTGTATTGTTTGCAATGACCACTAAACATAAACGCATTGTTCTCAGTGTTTCTGATAAACTTAAAATAATAGATCTGTTGAAGTGTGGTGCTAGTGGATCAAGCTTAGCTCGGAAATATGGAGTTGGAAATGCCACAATATCTGACATTAAAAAGAACAGCGATGCCGTTAAAAAATGTGCGAGTGTACTTGACAGTGAAGATGGAAGCTTGCACAGAAAAACAATGAAAATGGCAGAAAACCAGGATTTGGTCATTGCAGTTTACATGTGATTCATGCAGGTACGTAGCCAAGGACAACCAATAAGTGGCCCTTTGATTTGAACAAGAAACTAGGGGGTAACGCTGATTTTAAAGCGACTTCTGGCTGGTTTAAGAATTTCAAATCTAGGCATGGAATTGGACATCAGAGTGAAAAACTGTCAACTGATACTGAATCAGCTGAAAGTTTGAAAGAGTCTTTAAAGAACATGATTGATAAGGAGGACTACAAAAAAACCAATGTCTACAATGCAGACGAAAGTGGTTTGTATTGGAAAAAAGTGCCAACAAAAACCCTAGTTTCTAAGAATGAAATGTCAGCACTTGGTTTTAAGGTAAGCAAATTACGTATCACTGTTATGGTATGTGGAAATGTTACCAGAATGCACAGGCTACCTTTACTAATCGTAGGAAAATCTAAAAATCTGCGGTGCTTTAAAGGAATAAAAAAAATTGCCAGTGACCTACAAAAATCAAAAGAATTCGTGGATGGATACAACCATTTTTATAGAATGGT